GGGCACAAAACGACAAAATATAAGTACTATATGAATATGAATGCTTCATTTTGAGTTGATGGCATATCCAATAATTGGGTTTTGACACTATTCAACAACCAAGAAAATTGTACCCTCAAATTTCGGTGAGCATTCTGTATTAATTTGTGATTATTGGAATTGGATGCCCTCCATATTTCTCATTTTAAAATTTGTACTAAAGTTCATTTTAGTGTTTCATAGTGAGGACTATCATGTGGGCTTCGAGATGTGGGAACGCAGTATTTAATAACATTCACTCTTCATCTCTTCGTAATCTCTTCGCCTCTTTTAACACTGTCGTTTGATGCACGATTAATTATTTTTTATGTTCATTTAAACTATTCGATATGTTTATGATTAGTTCTCAAAACGAGCTTCAAGATGATGCCAATGATTTATGGATTTGACAAGCGTATGAACGTTGAAAATTTTTTAAAGTTAGAATATTATCGAAAATCTCGAATACAAGTTTGAATTGCCTACTTTGACACACTGCAACATTTGTTACAATTGGCCGTTTCGTATATCATTGAAGGCATGAAATGTTAGGTCATGAACACTTCGAAATGATATTAAAAATATAATATTTCGATTTTATTTGATATCCCATAATAACACCAAAAGTAACACAAAAACATAAAAAAATTGTAAATATTTAGGTTGGAACAACTTGGCCCTCTTCTTTAAAATTTTCACAACACGTCTCCTCCTTTGTTTCACGCCATATCAGCAAAATTAAATTTCTGAAATTCCTCTGTCAACCAATATTTGTACGTCTAACATAATTGATTAGAATACAGGGTTTGGAAATTGGAATTTGGGAGTTTTCGCAATTTGGCTTCTTTAGTTCTGACTATGGCATGTGAAGGTGTGAAATTGAAATGGCTATGGGCAATTGGGCAGTGGGTTGGGTTCCTATTGAATTCACTTAAGTAACAGCGGGCCTTTTGTTTTTAATAAATTGAATATTACACAAAACCATACTTTAAATATTCAATATTCTAAAATCAGATTAAAAATTTGATATTTCAAAAGTAAGATGTTTTATATTTAAATATTAAATATTATAATACAAATTTTTATCACTAATCCCAATTAATTTATATCTCATTCCTCTTTTCACCTCTCTCTCTCTCTTCTTACCCATCTCACTATCCACTCTCACCCGACAGTAGTCACCTTTCAACAGCGTTCCGAGGGCACATCATTGACGACAAGCAGCTGCGACGACGGTTGGTTGTGTTGGCGGTGGTGTGGTGGTGGTGGTCCTTTCTTCTCACCCATCTTCCTCTCTACTCTCAATTGCCTTCTCTCCACTTTTAGCAGCCTTTCGATGGCACATCACTGACGACAAAATAGTTGCAACCACTCTCTCCACTCTCTGTACCATTGAGATGACACACAGTTGCAACGGACGAGGCTATCGAGACACAATTTTTGGGGGTGATTGAGCTACCTACAATACACAACTGCTTAGGGTTTAGGTGTTTTTTCTATTGGTGATTATTGATTGATGATGGCTGAGGCGATGGTGGTAGTGGTGGTTTTGGATCTATAGTTTACATTGATTTGGTTACTTTTGTGGTTCGCTATCAGTTATTTTAGTTTTATGGCAATGGCGTGGTGGTGTATGGTATGATGGTTGTGGTAGTGGTAGTGGTAGTGGTGGTGTGCAGTTTATTTTTTTTTTTTTTATAAATTTTCTGTTGTATTGATGGTGGTGCGATAGAGGTAGTTGTGATAGTGGTACGGTAGTTGATGGCGGTGAGGCATTGGTTTTGGTTGTTGAAGTGGTGGTGATGGTCGCTTCCATATTTTGGAGGTAGCGAGTCGATAACGGTGATAATGATGGTCATTGTGGTGGTCGTGGCGTTGGTTGTGAGTGGGATGAGATGGGTCGGATACTGATGACCAATTATTTGGTTGATTGTAACTAATAATTAGTCAATTTGTAATATGTGACCTAAAAATTGTAACTGTGACTCGTAATTGATTAAGTTGTGACTGAAAAACTAACCGTGACAAATTATACCAATAGAAGTTTTGATTCTGTGATCAATAAATAATCCGTGACCTATAAAATTTTTTATTTGTAATTAAAAAATAATATGTGACCTATAAAATTTTTGATTTATAACTGAAAAATAAGTTGTGACCAATAATTTGATAAGTTGTGACTAAAAATTAATTCATGACTAATTAATTTTTTGATTTGTGACCAATGAACAAACTGTGACCTACAAAATGTTTGAATTGTGAACGTAAAATAATTTGTGATATAAAATTTCTGATTTGTGATAAAAAAAAAAATAATAAGCGACTAATTAAATTGTTAATTTGTGTCCAAATTATATAGATTTGTGACCTAAATAAATCTAATTAGTAAAATAATTAATTAATTAATTAAATCATAGATAAATTTTAATAAAAAATTGATTTTTGAAGCTTGAAACTTGTTTTTTTGATTTTGAAATATCTGATACTTAGACTTTTTTGAAATTTTCCCTTTAAAAAAAGGTTCAACTAAAAAAGAGGCCCAAATAAAGAAAAGATACAAACTATTCACCTTCCGTCCAATCTTTCTTCCCCAATTCTCTTGACGGTGGCGAGTCTGAAAACTTCAACTATGTGGGATGCTGCACCTGTAAATTTCGAAGGAGCCAGCACGGGCGGCTACACCATATCGCTTGGTGATGGCTCTGCCACTGGCTCTTTGCTATGTGCCATGGTCCTCGTATATACTTAATGCACTCTCTACAATTTTGCTTCTTCTCTAATTCGAGCACAACAATTAATCAATGCATTGTTGGTTATTTAAAGAAAACTAAAAACTCTTCATTTCTCTCATCTTTCTCTTGCCCTGCTGCATGTAGACATTTTTACATACGGACAATGTGATTTTGCTAAAAGTTGGTAGTTCTCATAAAATGTTATGAGTTCAATGAAATGAGTAACCAAAAATAAAACTTCACAAACTTTTTAACAAACAAAAGCTTTACCAAACGAGTACAAAGCATAATTACGCTATAAACCACTCTATGCTCTTATTTGGCCTCCCATTATTTGGATTTATAATGGGAAAACAGTATTTTTTTTTTTAAAAAATGGATGGTTGTAAAAAAATAAAAAGTTTTCGATTTGTGTGAATATTATTTTATTAAAAATTATGTTGTTAAAAATAGGAGAGAAAAAATTTTAAATTAAATTGATGAGTTTTAAAGGGGCCAAATGGGATCTATTTAATTATATTTTTTTTATTTGAGTTCATCCAAATAATCTTCACTTTGATTCAAATTCTTTAAATCAAGACAAATTTTAATACCTACCTTCATTCTCTTTTATAGGTACATCGTTTCAACTAATTGTAGCAGACATGAAGTAAAAAATTCATCCAACCTAACCCTATGAATTCAGAGCCAAATCTGAGATGAGGCCATTGACTCAAGCACAAACTCAATTGCGAATATCGAAAATTTTTGGTGGTTTTTTGTTTCTGTTTTGGGGGTTTTTTTTTTTTTTTTTTTTTTTTTTAAGTTTCAGAATGGCTCAAGGGCTGTTTTCTTCGTGTTTCAATTTTGTAGTTTTGAATTTTAAATTCATTTTGAATTTTGTATTTTGAATGCCTATTTTGAAATTGCTGAAAATACGTTCGTTAATGTTTTAATGTTCAATAAATTATAATATTTTAATGTTAATATAGTATTACATAACATATAAATTTTTAAGTTGGTTATTCAAGAAACCCAAATATTGTCGTTGGCTTCGACAGTGACTCCTTGTAGCCATGTTACCCTCTATCACGTATTAAATAAAAATTCAATAAAAAAACATGTAAATTATATATATTATAATTATACAAGACAAATAATCAATTTAGCCCTTTGAATATAAAACAAACATGTTGGATTTTATGCGCAATATTAAAGAGATGAAAAAAAAAAAAGATAATCAAGACAAGAATTTTACGTGATTCGACGGTGTGCCTACGTTCACGAGAGCGAAGCGAGATTTCTTTATTCAATTGTGAAAAATAGGGTTACAACATATTATTTATACTAACCCTAGCCTGGGCCCATATAAGACTTTAAGGCCTGTACAGAAAAAGCCCGCGTTCCACTCTATATGAGCCACATGCACAACAATTTCCACCTTGGCGAATATTCACCCCTTAGGAGAAAAAAACATAACCTGGAAAAAACCACACCATCTAGGACCAATGGGTTGGGACACATTCTCTCTAACACCTAGAGATGTTAATTAAGTTCAAACAATGCTTGAACCTATCCATTGTGATTGGCTTTGTCATCATGTCTGTTGCATTTTCTAAGGTATGCACCTTCTCTAACAATAGTTCTCCTGAAGTAACCAACTCTCTTATCTTATGAAATCTCACATCAATGTGCTTGGTTCTTGCATGATAAATCTGATTTTTAGCTAGGTAGATGGCGCTCTGGCTATCACAGTACAGCTTCATTCCATCTTGCTTGATCCCAAATTCCCTGACAAGCCCTTTCAACCACAATAATTTCTTGGCTGCCTCAGTTGCCACCATGCACTCTGCTTCAGTTGTAAATAATGCCACAAGTTATTGCACCATTGACCTCCAACATATGGGCCCACCTGCGAGTGTGAAAACATAACCTGTATGGGACCTTCTATCATCCAAGTTCCCTGCATAATCTGCATCTACATATTCTTGAATTGAAATATCACCATGTTGTCTCTCAAACATGATCCCGCACTCCATTGTACCTTTCAAGTACCTGAAAATCCACTTTACAGCTCTCCAATGCTCTCTACCAGGATTAGCCATATACTTACTAACCACACTGACTGCATGTGCTAAATCTGGTTTGGTATACACCATTGCATACATCAAACATCCAACTGCACCGACATAAGGTACCTTTGACATCTCTGCAACATCTTCTTCACTCTTTGGGCACTGATTATTAGACAATCTGAAGTGATTTGCAAGTGGTGTGGCAACTGATTTTGCACCTGACATGCTAAACCTTTCTAACACTTTCTTCAAATAATTTTTCTGAGACACTCATAATTTTCTAGCTTTCCAATTTCTGTTGATCTCCATGCCAAGAATTTTCTTAACCGGTCACAAGTCTTTCATATTAAACTTACTGCTCAACAAAGATTCAATTTGTCTACCTCATCCATGTTCTTAGCAGCCATTAACATGTCGTCCACGTACAACATCAAGAAAATATATGAGTTATCCTCAAGAACTCTATAGTAAACGCTCACTCCGCTCCGCTCCGCGCCGACATCGACCCATTTGATCCAGGACCTGTGTTCCACTCTATATAAGCCACATGCACAACAAAACATATATCAACGACCAAACTATGCTCTGAGCACTTAGCATGATTCTACCATGATTTAGAAGGCAAAGTTACTCCTTGTTTGATCATGTAAACCTGGTCACTACATTTTGGCAAGCACATAATGTTGTGCCCTTCTAAAAGATCAAACTCTTAACACTATCATGCTTGCACAACAACTTGCATAAAGAAAAGAATTTACTCCAACATCAATCTATATGACAGATATTTGAAATAATACTATTTCCTCTTCTTCGTCTATTATTTGTTCAATCGCCTTTGATATTAGTTTCCTGTCCACCTTTATTGGTGTTGTTACTTGCACAACCTTGGCTTTCACACCAGGAATCATGTCCCGCAAGACATTCTCAAATAGGGAGAATTGAGAGATTCTGCTGAGTTCCTCTCCGTTTTAAGTAAACGGCGCCTGTTGCTTATACTTGCCTTTATTGTTTCTTGTAAGAAATATCTCAAGTAGGGGGAGCTGAGTAGAATCTCCGCAAAGCCACCATTGCCGCTTTCTAGCCTCAAGCTCAAAATAATTTAAAAAAGAGAAAGGAGCCTCTATAACCACCATGACTAGAGTGCTTCGTCTATGAGCTTGTTGAACCACCCTCATCACCGTCTCACCTCCACAATGACTAAGCTAGTGCCGTTATAAGCCACTGAACAATTGTCATCACCAGACCCCCACCATTGTTGCTACTGAGCAATATCTCGTCGTCGTTACTCTTACACACTGGTTTGCAACTAGTAGCATTAAGTGGACATGGCTGCATCCATGGGACTTCAAATAACTTATGTAAAATATGTTCTCTTTTAGAAATGACTACAGAAAATATCGCATCTGATTTACTTGACGTGTTGGAACTTCAAGACATTTCTCTATAATATGTTAGCTTATCCGATTTCTGTATTGTAAGCAGCACTTTTATACCATATTGCTCATGCTCTGCACTAGGACTATAACTTCTGGCTGCATATCGCCTATGCTCTGCACTTATATGAATAATACAACCAAAGGGTCATTACTGTCTTCTGAAATTCCAGCCCACTATTCAACTAATCCAGCACCAGCATAATCACATACAAGAGCTGCATCGCCATAATATTCTTCCTGAACAGCTTTCTTCAGATGAGACATTACTCTGCCAATAGTGTCATTTTGTTGCTGCAGCTGCAATTGCCACCGTGAGCCTAGCAGCATCTCCATAATCCTCTCTATTAGTAGCAAAAGCCAACTGTGACTTCAAAATCGAGATAACTACGCTATTGCTTATCGGCCTCAGCAAAATGCTTCCTCCACCGCTCCCAATCCCACTCTTCATTTTCCTCCTCACCTCTCTTTTTCACATCAGCCCTCCCAACATTTTCCCGTCTCCGATCCCACAAATTCAAATACTCATCAGTCATCAAGCCTCTTAATCACACTCCTCAAAGTCTCCCGAATATCAACGTCCCACCACCTATCCGACCAAGAGGCACAAACAAAATGCAGAAAATTCCAATAACAGCAGCATGGAATTCAACAATAAAGAACAAAGAGACATACATGTCTTTGAAAATCTCATTGCCAATTCCACAACATAAGAGGAGAAATTGCAGGGATAGGGGAAAGACGTAGAAAGACGAAGTAATAGAATGTGAATTCACAAATCGTTAAAATTAACCCATAAAGAATTAAATAAAAAACGAAATGCTTACCTATCAATAAAATTTCATCAATTTTGTTGGGGCCGAATCTATTTCAAAACTCACGGTCAACTTTCACAAGCACACTCGATTGGACAAAATTGCAGGTGACCCATGATGGTACTGGATGTGCCTGGTTGAGAGGAGTGGAGTGGTGATGGTCTTTGATTGAAATGCTGGCCGACGGCGACCGAAATATGGCAAAAACGATGACTGTTAGCGTGATTTTGGGTAGTGATTGGGGCTGTTTTTGGCAACTCCGTGGCCAGGTGATGACAAGAGGTTGAAGAGGGAGGCGACGGGGTTTGAATCGTAGTAGGGTTTGGTGGTCTAGGTGGCGGGTGGTGGTCAATTGTTGACGAAGAAGGTAACGGTTCTCTCGTGCTTCTCTCACGCACAATTTTGGAAGGAGGAATTTAGGGCTGTTTTTTGTGTTTTGGTTATTTCTGTGATTTAGCATTAAAACGCTCAAAACGCAAGACGTTTTGCATTTTTAGTACATTTTTTTTGTTTTCCAAAATTCATTTTAAAAAATGAGAGAAATAACTCGTTTTCACCGTTTTGAAAAATCGAAAACAGAAAACGATAAAGAGAAGAATCTCTCAGTTTTCATAACTCAATTTAAAAGTACACACACCCAATATACCGATCCGTGCCCAAGTTAAAACCCATTACCATTTACCCCCCAAAACTTTAAATCTTTAATCGAGAGTTTATCTTTCAAATTCAGACCTACAAATACAATCCTAAATTCCTAACCGCATAGAGAAGCTCAAGCCACAATCGGATTAGGGTTGGGCAAAACTCCCAAACCAAGTTGAATCAAACTGACGAGTTTTTCTTAAATTAAATACTCGAACAGATATCTGAATCGAGAATCAACGGATTCGGTTCGGTTCTCGATTATAGATAAAGAGCCGAAAAATCGAATAAAAATCGAATCTCCCTAATTTTTTAATTTATTTATTTTAATAAGTCAAATTATTTTATTTTTTAAATAAATTTGCTAATTAGTTAATTTAGCTCCAACCCAAATATATGATTTTCCTATTTATAATTTTCAGTCCCAGTACAACTTAATCAAATTGATCTAAGTTTTACCCAAGTTTGTTATTATACAGTAATACCTTTTCTATTGTTTTGGTGAAATCGAATTGATGCTCAACAGTTACTCTCTTAATTATTATAAGCTCGCTATTATCATCTTTCTATGATTTTAACAATCACATTTATGAAGAATTCAACAAAGAGAAATATAAAAGACATATAAGATTGAATTACGTTATTTTATAAGAGCTAAGATTGAACATTGCATTAGTTGAATTAATGTAGCTTTATAAATATTAAAAAAATTAATTATAATATAGAACTTAGAACCGACCCGAACCGAACCAAACCAGAACAATCTCATAATTAAATTTGGACCTGACAGTTCTATTTACTAAATATCCGAAGATTTCGGGTTCGATTCGATTCTTGTTAAAACTGAACCGGACCATGCCCACCTCTACGAAATATGGTGATGAAGTGAATCATGAAAACAAAGAATTTAATGATTTTATTTATTTATTTATTTATTTTTTTCAACTTAGTTTGTTAGTTCGGAATATTTTTGGAGCGAATGATGAAAATTTATGGTGTGAATTTGTCAATCTGAATGATGAAAGTTTAGTTTCTAAAATTGATTATTTGCGCCATGGACTCAATCAAGAATTGATTAACATAAAAATTGGGATGTTATTTTGTTGATTGTATGTTCAATTGTTTTTTATTTTTTATTTTTAGTGACCATATCAAGCATAGAGAGCTTTTAAGGTTGAATTCGAAGTAAATTGACATGTTAGGCATAAGAATTTGGTGAGGACACTTAACTATTGTGCTCAAGGAGAACTAAACATAGGTACTTCTAACATCAAAATCAAGCTCATTTTATTTCATCTTCATAACTTTGGAGCTTGTAAATTTATGATTGATTTTGATTATTTATTGATACTTATGTATTGATGTTCTAAAAGAAGTGAAAAAAAAATGAAAATCTTGTTTAATTTTGTTGAATGTTGTGTTATCAAACTTGTTTTTAATAGTTATAGCTAAGGGCTTCAAATCCCAGACCCAAAATTATATATGTACTTGTCTCCCTTTAAAACGATTTTTTTTAAATTCATATACTTATTTTCAACATATAGTCACGTAATGAAATATTTTGCACGTAAATTCAAAATTTTCTCACTTTTCAACAATACATTCTCAAAAAAAAAAAAAAATTCATAATTCAAAACATCAATTTTCAAAATAATGGCCACTAATTTGGGGCTAAATTTACACTAGAAAAATAGTAAATAAAATAATCAACATTATTCATAATAATCAAGCGCAGTCAAGCATATAAGCCCATGTTTGATAGCTATTATTTCAAAACTTTTTATTCTATATATTCATTTTTAACCACATATTCACTAACTGACAAGGGGGTCGAGGTGGGGGGGTGTCACGTGACCACCCCATTTTTTTGATAAAGTCTTGTTTGGTATCAGTTGAAATCTAAATTTCAATATAAATCAAAATCAACAACTTTTCAACTTTTATCAAAATCTACTAAAAATATGATTTTAATCTCCACCAAACTAGGGCAAAATTACAATAAATTTGAAACTTTTTATCTTTTTTCTTACTCTCTCGCGACTCTCTCCCTCATGCCTTTTTGCCAAAACCTTAACCAAAAATTGTCTATAATTTCTTTACAAATTATTACATCAACTGCAAATCTTCATTTCTCAATCAAATTTTAAGTTAATTATAATCTAAATTTGTGTTTTCTCCTATCAAATTGTATATATAGAATGTATCAGAAATAATTATGCCCAATTTGACTAATATTTAACGAATTGTATTTTTATTTGATTGACTATTAGTTTGAATATTGATTGTATGTCTTTCCGTTTGAATACTTAAATTGATTGTTTGTATCAAATAAATTTTAAATTCTCTAAACGTAAATATACATTTTCTTGTGATGAACAAAAATATTAATAAAATGACTGTTCAAAATCAAATGGATGAAAATGATGAACAAAATATTAATGAATGAATATTTTTAAATGTAAATCTGTTTTTTCTCGAGTCAAGTATGAATTGTTCAAAAGTCAAGAACAAAAACTTAGTGCATAAATCAAAAAACTTTTCTCTACTTCTTAATCATAAATTCTCCTAAAATTCATTATTCAAAACTTTTATTTTGCAAATAATGGCATCAAACAAGGCTTACCAAACTAGCTAATATATTTATACTTCAACTTGAAGGAAATTCAGAAAACTAACGTGTTAGGTGTTGATGTGTATTGCATTGAGGTGCATGGTCTTGGTTAAGGATGAATGTTTCTGTGGCTGAGGCAGTACCAAACTTAATATAATAGGCCTGTTTGAGCCACATTATTTCAAAAAAAAAAAAAAAATACATTCTTAAACAATGATTTGACATCATTTTAATCATATATTCTTCAATAACATAATATTACACACAGATCAAAAACTTTTTCTTAATTTTTAACCACACATTTCCCATTAATACACTATTCAAAAATGCATTATTACCAAAATAATGTGATTCAAACACCCTCTAAATTCGAAATTGCCAGGTGGGAACTACCAATCTTTGCATAGTGTCGGAGATCAAACCATCAAATTGCATTAGAGAATTTGCAACTTGATATGCATTTTAAATCAGAGATACCATGGGAGGCAACTAATTTAGAATTGTGATTTATCTATTTCTAACTTCTTATAAAAACGACAGTGAGCAGGGGCGGAGCCAAGAACCTCTCTCAGTGCTGGCACAATTTTTGGCATTAGCTACAATGAATTTTTAGTTTTTAAGTTTATGAACAAAAAAAGAGCTAGGTCCTTATTTCCTCTACATAAATTCCCAAATCACAAATGATAAATCATAACTCACAAATAATAAATAAATAATTGAATTATGTGAGGTGATGACAAAACAGAGAACAAAAAGCAAAAACAAAACCAAAAGAGAGAGAGAGAGAGAGGGAGAGAGAGAGAGAGGCGCTAGCAATTTGACCGGAGATTGGAAAGGTCGGTGTTGTCGTCGGCGGCAAGTCGTCGCCCATCAACAGCAGCAGCCAGCAAGAGACCAAATCTTGAGTCATTCCACTTCGCACAAATCGCCATGGCAGCAGCAAGCAGAAAAGGGTTTCTCGTACAATTGAATTGAAATTTGGATTTTGGAGTTTTGGAGAATCTATTGTGGGTAATCAAATACATATGGGTCATTGGGTTAGGCATAATGTTGTTATATAAAATAGCCCATCACAAAATCACTCATCAGCCCAAAAACAAACAGGCCAAAACTGAAAAAATTTAAAAAAGTTACCCAGTTGGCAACTTGGCATTCACCTTCTTCCTCGGCTTCTCTTCCACAATTCCATCTCTCCAACCTATAAATTCTTCTCCTCTCCTTTCCTCTTCTTCTCTTCTTGGACCTTTGATCCGTCGGAAATCCCAGTGCAGGTACTGCCTTCAACTACTGCCGGAAATACCAGTTGAAGAAATCTCAGCTGAGGCCAGTGCAGGAGTGGCTCCGCCCCTGATAGTGAGGGAGTACTATAGATGCAATAGTAAATTAATCCAATTTTACTGTGCGTGATGTCATTTTTTATTTTCGCATTTTCTGAAGAATTTTGTTTATGGTGATCTGACAAATGTCTTTCCACACGCATTGTGCCATCACCATTAAAAAAATAATTTTAATATATATACTTTGTCATGCCAAAAAAAAAAAAAAAAAAACTCAGCACTCCGCACCGTGCGGAGAGTTGGAGAGCACTCCGCACCGTGTGGAGAGTTGGAGAGAAATCTCCGTACAGTGTGGAGAGTTGGAGCGCACTCTCCGCATAGTTCGGAGAGATTTATTTATTTATTTTTTTGGTAATTTTTTTCTCCACTCTCTCTCTCTATCTATACTTTTTTTCCATTTTTTAGGCAATATCTATTTTTTCCTACTTTTTCGACATAATATATATAAACTGCCATGAGAAAAAAAAAAACTCTCCATATAGTGCGAAGAAATTTTCTTTCTTTTTTTCGATAATTTTTTTCTTTTTTTTTTTCACACACACACACACACTCTCTCTCTCTTTACTTTTCTCCATTTTTTAGACAATATCTATTTTTCCCTACTTCTTCAATATAGTATATATAAACTGCCATGAGCAAAAATAAAAACGGCATTGAGCAAAAAAAGAAAAAAAAAAGTATTCTTCGCATTGTGGGGAGACCATCTCTCATTCTCTCAGCACAGTGTGGAGCCATTTTTCCATCTCTCCGCACAGTGCAGAAAGTTAGAGAGCACTCCACACAATGCGGAGAGATTTTATTTTTTTCGATAATTTTTTTCTTTTTTTTTTTCACTTTCTCTCTCGCTTTCCCTA